TGGAGTCTATTGGCTAGGATTTCGTTGAAGATTTTTGCATCAATATTTATGAGGGATGCTGGTCTGTAGTTCTCCTTTTGAGCGATGTCTTTGCCCAGTTTTGTTATCAAGGTTATGATTGTTTCTTAAAATGAGTTAGGGATGATTTCATCCTTTTCTATGTTTTGGAATAGTTTGAGTAGGAATCAACATTCTTTTTAATTGTGTTCTGTTTGTTCCATTTCCAGTACTCTAATTTCTCTGCCTCCTTGTTTTGTCATGTTCACTTTAGAGCAAATGTTGAAATTTGGTCTCAAAAAATGGCTTTTAGTAGAACACCATACTTTGAGGTAGTATCCTTTGTGGGCATTTTGTTGTGTTGCTAAAAGGTGGTCTTAGGATAGTTTCAGATCAGGATTTAATTAGCATTTCAGGGTAATAGTCTCAGGGAGTTCTTAACCAGCCCCAACCATCTGGCCTTTTTTGAGAATCTGAGTTTAGTCCTACATTTTTCTCTAGTTGTGTCTGGGGCCATCTATTGTGATCCTGGTCAGAATAGTTGGTAGTGGTAGCCAGGCACCATTTAGTTCTTCTGGTCCCAGGATAGATAAGCCTATGGCTCATGTAAGCTCTTAGCCTTATAGACTTGTTTCTTCTCTGAGACTTTGGTTCTTTCTTACTCTTTTGCTCCTTGTAAGTAGACACCAATAGCTAGCTGTATCTTAGATGGTGTTTTGGTTACCTAGTGCTGCTCTAATAGAAATACCACAAATGGGATGGCTTTAACAAATAGGAGTTTCTTCTCTTACAGTTTGGAGACTTTAAGTCCAAGTTCAAAGTGCCAGGCTCTAGGGGCTGGGCAAAAGCCCCTCAACCTTGGGCTTCAGCTCTGCCTCTTGCTCCTGGCCCACTGAAGCTAATGGCTTCTCTTGTCTCAGACAGCTGCTGACTGCTAAGGCTGACAAACCAAGGTCAACAAGTAAAAAGGCACAGTTTCAATGTTACCAAACACCACAGCAGGCCATTGATTCAAGTCCATTGAAAGTTCCTTGACTGGCAGAGCATGGCAGGCTGCTGAACAACAACACAGCTACATGCAGAGTTCAAGCATGCCATAAGCTAGAGGCCATTCCCAAAGCTGCTTCTTATATATGGAAAGCAGACCACAACCCTAAAGCAGCTATTCAGATGCTTGTGGTAGATCCCACCATGAAGGTGATTGCCAGTCTCATCATAGGAAATAACTATCACCAGCTGCCCAGCCACTCAACCAGGCCCAGCCAAGTTGACACACAATCTTAACTACCACAGATGGCCATTTCCTTGCAGCAGAGGGACCTGCTGCAAGGGACCTCTTTCAAGTGCTGAAGAGCAAAATGCCCACAAAGGATATTACCTTGAAGACTAAGGTGCGTTTGACACAATCCAGGGTATTTTCAATCACCTCATATGCATGTGAGAGCTGGACAATGAAAAAGGAAGACAGAAGAAGAGTTGATGCTTTTGAGTTGTGGTGTTGGCGTTGGTGTTGTGGGCACTGTTCTTTATGGTTGTGTAGTATTCCGTTGTATGTATGTACCACATTTTGCTTACCCATTCATCTACTGATGAGTATTTAGTATCTACTGAGAGTACCATGGACTGCTAAAAGAACTAAAAAATCCATCCTGGAAGAAGTGCAACTGGAATGCTTCTTGGAAGTGAAGCATCTACTTTGGTCATGCTGTAAGAAGGGATCATTCCCTGGAGAAGGATATCATGCTTGGCAAAGTGCAGGTAAAATGAAAAAGGGGAAGGCCCTCAATGAAATGGATCAACACAGTGGCTGCAACGATGGGCTCAGGTATAGTAAAAATCATGGGGTTGGCACAGGACCGGGCAGTGTTTCATTCTGCTGTACATGAGGTTGCTATGTGTCAGAGAGGACTCGACAGTACCTAGTAACAAAAACGTGGCCATTCCCAATCATTTAAGACCCTAGACATCCTTCACTTCACTAGGATGTAGAACATGAACCTATGAACTACATTATGCCAATTGACTGAGTTGTCCCATGAGACTAAAGTCCTAAGCCTTCACAGTTAGAAAATGAGGAGTATCTATAGTTGTGTTTTCTATTAATATGTGTGCCTGCATACACATATCTGTACTTACAGATACATATAGATACTTCTATCTGTGCACACGTGTATATATTTGTACCTACTCATGTATCTCTGTCTTAGGCTAGATTCTCTACAGAAGCAAAACAAGTGAAGATATATATATATATATATATATATATATATATATATATGGGGAGGAGAGGGAATATATACATAAAGAGAGAGAGAGAGAGAAAAGAGAGAGAAAATTTATCTCAAGGAAATGGCTCATGTAGTTGTAGAAGCTGCCAAGTCTCAAGTCTTGAGACATCAAGCTAGAGGCTTCTCCTGACTTGTGCAGCTGCAGAGGCTGACAAACCCGATTAACAGGCAGTGTAGCAGGTTGCTGGCTTAAGAGGATGATGAATCCAAGATTGTCAGGTAGAATGGCAGACTGCTGGCTTACAGGCTGCAAAGGCAACAATCCCAAGACTGGCAGGCAATACAAAAGGCCACTGGTTCAAGTCCAAGAACCAGAGCTGATGATGAACTAGATGCAGGATCCAGATCTAGCAGAAAGCCAGAGAGTTTTCCCAGGATGTCCATGTATATATATTGGAAGCAGGCCACACTCCTGAGGAAACTGCCTTTCAACTGATTGGCTACTCAGAGCACATCATCATGGAGGTTATTACATAGATCTCATCATGGGAGAGGACTACATCATAACTGCTAAACCACTTAGAATCATGGTCCAGCCAAGCTGACACACAACCCTATCACAACCTCTATACCAGTATACATACATGTGTGACCATACGCTGCTTTTTCAGTCTTTGTTGGAGTTGTTGCCAAATTATACACATCAAATTCTTTAGTAGAAACATCTTTTCTCTTGAGCATGTCTCAGCAACATCACTTACTTTGCTCAAGTTGTTCTCACTATACCCACATCCAGTGCCACTTTTCCCTTCGCCAAAAATAACAAGTATCTAATATCTACAGTGTGATTCCTCATCCCCTCCTTGGTAACCACCAATAATATTGGCCTTTCTATATATCTATTTTTATCTTCTCAAAAAAGAGGGATCATAGAGTATTTGTCCTTATGGCATCAACTTATTTCACTTAGCATTATATCCACCAAGTCCATCCATGTTATATTTTGCAGACTCATCACTGTTCTTTATCGTTGTGTAATATTCCATTGTATGTATGTACCACATTTTGCTTACCCATTCATCTACTGATGAGTATTTAGATTTTTTTTTCTATTGTATCACTTAATTCTTATATTAAATCTGTACAGCTTTGTATCTGTAGTGTATCAGTATATTAACATTAACGAACTTAAAAATATGAGGGTCAAATAAAAATTGTATGTAAAACCCAGTAAAAAGGCCAGTTTTTGAGACTTCCTTTAAATATCTGCAAATGCTCAGCTAAGTTAGCCAAGTGTACTCTGTGAAGGCAAAGTCGTAAGTAAGTAAAAAGAGGATGGGTTTATCATTTGGAGTTTATAGTCTAGCAAAGGAGAGAGAAATTAATTTAAGAATTGTAAGTATGCATGACATTTATCAAAGAATCACATATACTACTGAGAAATGCTAGAAAGAATAATAATAATTCCTATGAAACCAACCAAACTCACTGCCATCGAATTGATTGCGACTCATAGCGACCCTCATTAGGTTTCCCAGGCAGTAAATCTTTATGGAAGCAGACTGCACCGGCTTCCTTTCACAGAGCAGATGGTAGGTTTGAACGACCAACCTTCTGGTTAGCTTTCAAATGCCTTAGGCACTGTGCTTTCAGAGGTCAAGAAAGAAAAAAAAAATCCCCAAAATAAGTAACATGAAATCTTGGCAATTCTAACTCTTAACTGATTTGAATTATAATAAATCAGCATTTCAATCTAGTGAACTGAAATTTTCATCAGGCTTGCATTGTTGTTTTTGTTGTTTGTCAGGTGCCGCCCTCAAACCAGTTCCACTCTTAGTGGCCCTATGTGCAACAGAACTAAACACTGACTGTTGCTGTGCCATCCTCACAACAGTTGCTATGTTTGAGCCCATTATTGCAGCTACCCTGTTAATCCATCTCCGTGAGATTCTCCTCTCTTTTGGTGACCCTCTACCAAACATCATCTTCTTCTCTAGGTCCGTTCCCATTATATGTTAAAAGCATGGCACGAGGTCTCTCCTCGCTTCTGAGGAGCATTCTGGTTGTACCCCCAAGGCAGATTTGTTCCTTCTTCTGGCAGTCAATGGTATATTCAATATTCTTCACCAACATCGTAATTCGAGTGCATTAATTCTTCTTGCATAGCCTAGAACAGACTCTCTCAAATGAAAAAAATCTTTAGTTTATCCTGGAATTGTATGCAGCCAACTTTGTTATTAAGGCAGAAGATGGTAAAAGGAGGAGGTATGTGATTACTTGCATATTCATGAAGTTACAACCAAGATTCCTAAAGACCTCGATTAGGGATAAGAGGTGACTTGCCTTCTTGGACATGAAGAAGCCTGGGAACGAACCAGGTCGCTATTGGGGGGAAAAAGCAGTTTGTTTGGGGGATCACCACCAAGAATGAATACTAACTCAGTGATCCCCAAGGCGTCACACCCGGAATTACATAGTCTCACTGCCTATACAAGGGCCGCCTCTGCAACTTCCATTTTACTTCCTGGCACCCACCTAGAAATCCAGCATGAATCTACTGCCTGCTTCCATCCCTCTCCCACTCGTCAGGCTGTGTGCTGGTTTTCTTCACTCCGAGTGAACTCTCAAAAGAGACCCGGGGGCAGGGAAGGGAAGCAGGTAGGGCCAGCCGAGGCGGGAAGGGTGCTGGTGCACCACTGCTGCCCTCACCCAACATGGCGATGTAGAATTGCGCTTCGTCCCTTCCGGCGGCGCGCGCGTGCTTTGGCCACGGTATCGGGGATCGCGCTCTGGGGGCGGATCTACGGTGGAAGGGCGACGCGCGCCCTGTAGCTCGGACTGAAGTCACCACCATCACCACCACCTCCATCACCACTTCTTCTCCTAGACTGTGGAGCGGAGGATGGAGCCGGTGACCGTCGGTATCGACGGCGGAGACGGCCCGGGGTCCTCTGCGGGTTCAGGCCTATCTGCTTCCCAGCGTCGGGCCGAGCTGCGGCGGAGAAAGCTGCTCATGAACTCGGAACAGCGCATCAACCGAATCATGGGCTTTCACAGGCCCGGGAGCAGCGCGGGTGAGAGCCTCCGTTTTCCTCCAGTGTCCGGCTAACCCCTTTTGAGTCTTCGGGAACAGTCTTTTTCCCACCTAGCTGACCCAAGTCTTGCCCTCTGACTCCCCCGTCCCCTCCCCTTAGGTGATTTCTCAAGTTCTCACGCCTTAACCCCAGATCATTCCTACTGACTCCGCACAACCTTCTGGCGGCTTCGCCTTGAGAGACACCACAACCCCGCCGCCAGCGGTAAAGCCCTCGCTCCTGTCTCTGTGCCGTGTTATTCTCTGTTCATTTACCCCGAGAACGACCTCATTCTATCTTCTCCGCTGCTCTCCCCTTCCATGAAGGGCGCACATTTTATACTGTCAGGCTGCGCTGCCCACTGCGCCCTTCAGGAACATTGCTTTCATATCCCTTCCAAATGCCTTTTCTTCAAGACCCTTCCCTCGACTACTTACTTTTAATTTTGCTCTGTCTGCTCACACCATCTTATCTTTACTGAACTGCTCCCTAGTCTTCACTATGTGGGTAAAGGGCTCTGTGGTCATACTATTATGTCTGTGTTAAGTGCCCTCAACACGGTCATCTATGGGCCTTATAGAAGAGGTGAAGTACGCGTGAGCATTGTTTATAGACCCAACAAGTGGAAATTGTCTTCCCTTTTCATGTTGAGATTGATGTGATTGATGTCTGCAAGTGCATTTCACTCCAAAGGGGAGTTCCTCATTTTTTCCCAAAGATATGTTCAATAAGGTTCTTTAAAATGTTTATTTGTTCATGTGAATATTTATTGAACATTTAGTGTGTGCTAGAGTTCTTTAAGATTACTTGGAGTGTTGCCTTTGCTATTGTAATTGGCCTTTTGTAATTGTAATTGGCCTTTTGTTAGTGGTTGCAAGCTCCTTAGATCTTTGTGACTTGTGTTCTCTTCACTGAGGCTTTAAATATATAGTCCTGAACTTGTAGACAGCTTACAGGTTCAAGGCTGAAAACTATGAGGAAAGGTAAGAGCATTATTTGAAATTCTGTACTAGAATAATAGCATCATAAATATTAAGCAGTTTTATGCTTGCTGACTGCAGTAGTAAGATTACATAAACAGTAGCTGTAATATATGCCACACCCTATGCTGACCGGAGTCAGGATTCAGAAATCGAATTTTAAAATACAGATTTTAATTAGCCCTGATAATTTTATATTTTGAACCAAATAAGTGACAGCAGGCAATGCAGACATACTTCTGGGATATAATAGCATAAAAAGTTGGTCATTATAGCTTACTCCACCCTTTCAATATCTTTCCTAGTTTGTCTACTGGTCTTATCTCCAATTTCTAAGGTGTGGATTATTGCCTCTGCAGGAATACTGTTTTGGGTGATAATTGTACTTATTTTTAACATATATTTTGGTGTCATTTTTTTGTGGTACGAGTATATATAGCAAAACATTTGCCATTTCAACAGTTTTTACGTGTACAATTCAGTGACATTAATTATGTTCGTTCATCATGTTGTGCAGCCATCATCACTATTTGTTTCCAAATTTTTCCATCTGGGTGATATATTTTAGGAATAGCAAAAGCTTCTTTATAGAAGCAGCAACTAATTTATATATTATGCTGAATCAGTACTAATTTAGATTCATAAACTTCTGAGTTCTACCTGCAGTAGCATATTTTTTAAAATATCAACAGGGAAGGTGTTTGCTTGGTATGTAGTACATAAGATTTTAAAATTTCTTTTCACAGAAGAAGAAGGTCAGACAAAATCAAAACAGCTGGACAGTGATAGACTGAACTCCCTCACTGTTCCTTCAGTTTCAAAGCGAGTAGTGCTGGGTGATTCAGTCACTACAGGAACAAGTGACCAGCAGAGTGGTGTGGCTGAAGTAAAGGGGACCCAACTGGGAGACAAGCTGGACTCTTTCATTAAACCATCTGAGTGCAGTAACGATGTTAACATTGAGCTCCGGCAGCGGAATAGAGGGGACCTGACAACGGACACTGTCCAGCGGGGTTCTCGCCATGGCCTAGAACAGTACCTTTCCAGATTTGAAGAAGCAATGAAGCTAAGGAAACAGCTGATTAGTGAGAAACCCAATCAGGAGGATGGAAGTACAACAGAAGAATTTGATTCCTTTCGAATATTTAGATTGGTGGGCTGTGCTCTTCTTGCTCTTGGTGTCAGGGCTTTTGTTTGCAAATATTTGGTAAGGAAGTGCACATTGTTATAATAATGAGTGCTTTTAATCCATAGAGTTCATTGTCAGTCTTAATATTTATCAGATTCATGGGCTGTTTCGAGATGTATTATAAACTTTCTTGTTCAACTTAGTTATAGAATGAGATGTGCTGGTAAATACAGAACCTAATAATGATAATTACTAAATTCTTTCTATCATTCTAGGTACTTTACTTGTATCAATTCATTTAATTCTCATCCTTATGAAGACACTATCATTTGAATTTATATTTTATAGATGAGGGAGTGGAGGCTCAGAGACATTGAATAGTTTGCCCAAAATCACACAGCTAATATGTGGCAGCTGGGGTTTAAACCCAGGCATTTTCATTGCAGAAGAGAAGGGTAAACTACCTACATATACTATATATTAACTACCAATTTTTTAATAATTTGAAACATTAAAATGTTCCCATGATCCTGAACATGACATAGTTTTTCTATGTTTCAGAAGGCTTTTCAACATTTTATGATATGATAGTATTATAGAGGAGCCCTGATGGCATGGTGCTTGAAGTTCTTGGCTACTAACAAAAAGGTTGGAGGTTCAAACCCACCAGCTGCTCTCAGGGAGAAAGATGTGATAGTCTATTTTCAGAAAGATTTAGAGCCTTCATTCCCAGAGTCCACCTTTCAGCCAAATAATTGGCCCGTAAAATAAACAATAACACTGGAGAGGAACATGTTCGAATAGCGGCCTCTAAGAGATCAAAAGGACTATATTTGCCCAAAGCAAAGATGAGAAGACAGGAAGGGTAGAAAATTCAGATGAGAAGAAATGGAATCTCAGGGTAAAAATGGGGAAAGTGCTGACACATTATGAAGAATGCAGTCAATGTCTTGGAACACTTTATGTACAGACGATTGAATGGGACACTAATTTGCTCTGTATACTTTCACCTAGGGAGCTCTGGTAGCGTAGTGCCTAAGGCACTTGACTGCTAACCAGAAGGCTGGCGGTTCAAACCCCCAGCCACTCCTAGGAAGGAATGTTGGGCGATCTACTTCCGTAGTGATACTGCCTCGGAAACCCAAGGAGGGGTCGCTATGAGTCAGGTCTGACTCGAGGGCACATAACAACAACAACAACTTTCACCTAAAGCATGATAAAAAAATTTGTTAAAAAAACATGTATAGCTTTGGAAACCCTGTAGGGCAGTTCTACTCTGTTCTGTAGTGTTGCTATGAGTCAGAATTGACTCGATGGCACTGGGTTTGGTTTGGGGTTGGAGTAATACTATAGACAGTTTTCATTGTTCAACTATGTGCCAATGGTTCATGGGATTTAATGGCCCTTCTGTTTTACAGTATATGGAGGAATGCAGAAAAGCAGAGCTCATAGTTCAGTGTCTTGGCTCGTTGAGGTATTTCTATTCAGTGGATATTTTGAGAATTCCCACCATATACCAGGCACATAAATACATTTTCCAGATCATTAAGGTGTCTATCATTAAGCAAAAAAAGGTTGTTTTATTTTAAATTGTGATTTGAATGAAAGTTTACAGAGAAAATTCACTTTCCATATAGCAGTTCACATACACTTTATCTCATGACATTGACTACAATTTACCACAATGCAACAGCTCCCCTCCCATTTTCTCCCCATAGTTACCTCTTCCCTGTGTCCTTCCCTCCATGCATTCCTGCCCCCTGAGCTGTCTCCCTGTGTATACATTGTCCTTTTATTCTCCCATTATTCTCTCCAAGGAGTGTATCTACCTAATGTAAATGTTTACCTCATATGCCTGTCTTTTATTTGGCTGGAAGCCACAGGAGTGGGTTAAATTCCAGACCTGAAAGGGCAGCTAAGGGCCATAGTCTCAGTGGTTCCATCAGGCTGTATCAGACCAGCAAACATGGTCCCACAAAAAAGATTTTTTAAATAAATTTCTATGCATATATTTCAAAAAAACAGAATCTGTTGGACAGTTTTTTTTTCCCCTATTAATAAGTTGCCATCATTCCAAAGAGCAGTGAGTGAAGGTTCCAGCATTTACTGGGAAGTGTGGCTACTTTTTGTCTTCTAATTAATAGGATCTATGCTTTCTTGCTGTAAAAGTTACCATGTCCTGTTTTTTTGTGCCACATTTTTGTGAGTTCTTTTTTTGCTGTCAGATTTTCAACTTCTTCTTACTATTATTATTCACTGCTCTTATTATATTTCTGTCTACTAGTGTTTGCTCTGTCGCTGTAGGAGTTAATTCCTTGTCCAAGAGTCTTAGGAATGCATGACCTCGATTTTGAGTGCTGGTGTCATTTAAGTGTGCTTCAACTTGTCAGTTGGTAAGGAAGTGCACATTGTTATAGTAATGAGTGCTTTTAATCCATAGAGTTCATTGCCAGTATTAATATTTATCAGATTCATGAGGCTGTTTCGAGATGTAATATAAACTTTGTTGTTCAATTTAGTTATAAAATGAGATGTGCTGAAATACACCTTCCTCTAGGTGAGGGAGCTAATGTCACATGATGTGTTATGCATCTACACCCATTCAATACTTTAAATAATTGAAAAGATACATTTTTATGAGAGGTGTTTATGGTACATTAAAGCATACAAAAGACTTGTATGACTTGATAAACATGTTTTATGTTTAGGAAACCAAATCCTTGTTATTTTCTTTACCCTTCTGCAGAAACAAGATTACTTTCAATCCCTAAAATTAAATATTTTAGTTAAGTTTTTGCTTGGAATTTTATAGTTGTTATTTTGACTTACTGTGAATTGAATGATTATGTTGGAAATAATGGAATTTTATCTTCTTTCTTCACAGTCCATATTTGCTCCATTTCTTACTTTACAACTTGCATACATGGGATTATACAAATATTTTCCCAAGGTAAATTAATTTTTTTCCTAAATTATGGTTAAGTATGTAAAATGGTTAATGGCTAGCTAATTTTAAGAAGTTAAAAAAACGAAATTTTCACTTGTGGTCTGAATCAAGGAGCTCTGGTGGCACAGCGGGTAAGGCATTTGGCTGCTAATCAGAAGGTTCGTGCTTCACACCCACCAGCCACTCCATGGGAGGAAGATGAGGCAATCTTCAGCCTTGGAAACCCAATGGTGGTTGCTATGAGTAGGAATCGACCTTTTGGGTTGCTATGAGTTGGAATTGACTTGATGGCAGTGTGGTCTGAATCAAGTGCTAGTCATTGTGTGGTTACTCACCGGTGCCTATCTTCATATTATTTGTTTTAGATTGTGATACAATCAGAAAATAAGTAAGAAATTAAAAAAGACAACCAAACTCACTGCTGCTGAGTTGATTCAAACGCATAGCAACCCCCTTTGGGTTTCTGAGGTGGTAAATCTGTATGGAAGTAGATTGCCCAGTCTTCCTTCCACGGAGTAGCTGGTGGGTTTGAACTGTCAACCTTCTGGTTAGCAGTCAGATGCCTTAGGCATTACACCAACAGGGCTCCACAAGTAAGCAATTAGACTATTTTACTGCTATAAAATTTGACTTTGCCATACTTTTATTTTTCAAAAATGTTCATCTACAACAGATTGGGAGAAATACTAGTCCCTTGTGATAGAGAGTTTGAGTTGTACTTATTTAATAAAAGTATTCAATTTAATAACTTACTAAGTTTTGTAATATATTTTATATATAATAAGGGCAGTTTTTAAATAGATTATTTCACTGTGCTCCCCACTGGACACTTGATAGCAATGCACTTTTATGTTTAATATCAAAGGCCTGATATTTGTAAGAGATATTTGGTGAAAATTAAACAAGAGAATGATGATGAATATCACTGATTACCTGGTTTGCTTGACAGCAGATATACTCACAGTTAGTCAGAGTTTAACTTGCCTGATTTAAAAGATAACCTTACTTTGTGATGGAGTGTATATATTTTTTTGCTGAAAAATAGTTACTTGGCTGCTTACTTAATAATTTCTAGTGTTTTTAATGGATTTGAAACATTTGTCACAGGTCAAATATAGAAATTAAAAGAATGAAGAAATGCAATTTAAATCAAAACATTTATTTAGAAATTTACCCTTGAAACATTGATTGTAATTTTGCAGTAGCAAAAGTTTGGAAACAACTTAAATATCCATTAATAAGTGACTAGTCTTTGGAAGGAAGATTAAGCAATCTACTTCCCTAGAGATACCACCTTGGAAACCCAAGAAGGGGTCACTATGACTTGGAGACAACTCGATGGCACATAACAACAACAACAAGAACAAGTTAAAAACTATGAATGGCAGGACTTCCGGTAACATGGAGGCATAGGCAGA